AAACGTCAGAATCTCTCAGTCGTTTGATTCTTTCTATTCACTTTCTTTAATGCCTATTGTTACTCTACTTTTACAGATAGTAGATCAATGAATTTACTCAGCATGATGGGTATTATTCATTCTCTGAGGTCAACACAAAGCTCTGTCCATGTCCGGGAAAACGATTCACCTGAATTACGGGAAGTATAGTATTCTGTGTTGAACTCATGAGAATGAGGATGTTTCCCACCTAACCTGCCCATTTGGTTTGGTTCGTTTCGGGTGTGCGGTTCATAGAGTGAAAGCAAACTGACCAATCACAGGAGCTTATGATGGCATTGTTTTACCTTTTAGGAGGTTATGTTTTCACCCATGTCTGTTTCTTTGTTGCTTGGTTTGTTAGTTAGCAGGATTATGCAAAAACTACAGGACGGATTGGCACGAAACTTGGTTGAAGGATGCAGTATGAGTGAGGGACGTACCCATTCCATTTTGGTGCAGATCATTTTTTCATATCTTTAACAACGTGAGACAGGACATTAAGCAGCATTGTCCTTGATTTTCTTGATTCATGGATCTTGATGAAAGAATGAGACATATTTAGAGGATTGGCAGAGGAATGAGTGTGATGAACTTAAATGATTAGGTACTATTAAAGGATTACACATTTTCCATGTGGCTTCATGTTTCATCTCTCTGCTTGTTTGTCAAATGGACCACACACTGTCTAGACCTAATACCACACTACTGTCAGTCATCTCTCACAGACACTAATACAGTCAATACACTTTCAGAAGTTCGCTGTGTGTGTAAACAAAGGAACGGTCTGTGAAATGAATGTGTTCCCTGAGGGGTGCTATCGGAGCTAAGTGTTGCTGATGCTGTGTGTTTCCAAGAGCGACATTAGCACATAAGAGAGGAAGAGAAAAGTTGTGAGGGGACAAACTGAGAGATGAGTTTTGATTTGTGACCTCCACCCGGCCCCCCTCCAGCCAAGACACACCTCCCTCAGGCAAACAGACAGCAGACATTAAACAAACGCAAACATCACAGTCCGCCCCTGATGAAGAGTTCCATCCTTCAATCTATGTCGACTCAGACCAGGTATCAACATCGCTCCTGACCTCTGAGTGATCCGATCACAAGTGGACAGCTCAGGTGTGAATGAACTCAAGACCCACATTTGAGATCCGATCCCTCAGACCACATTCAGAGTTGATCTGGGATGAATGTGGCCACATTGTAGGACTATCTAGTCAGTTTCATAATGAACAGAAAATATATTTAAACTTATAAATGTTTCCTGTTCATTGATTTACAGTATGTGTGGCTGCATCCACAATATCAACATTGACCACTAGATATTGATTTTCTTTTCTTTACTATTTTAAATGAGTAAAATGTCTTTCATACCTATTTCACCAAAGCTCTCTCTCGTATGTTTACACACACACAACCTCGTACATCTATCTTAGTAAGGACACTCCTATACATAATGTATATTCCCTAGCCTCTAACCTTAACTGTCAAAACTAAATGCATAATCCTAACCCTTAACCTTACCTTAACCTACCCTTAAATCTAACCTGAACCCTAAAACCAAGTCTTAACCATCAAACAGCTCATTGAAAGAAGGTCAGAAAGGGAGGACTCGACAAATTGTCCTCAATTTTCCAAAATGTCTTCACTCTATAAGTTCTAGACTCAAAACGGTCCTCACAAATATACCTGTACAAGTAAAGAAACACACACGGACAATGGACCTGTCTGTCACACTGGCAGAAACACCACCATATGGTCAATGTGAACAGAATTGACGTACGTATTTATTTGCATACCGGTAGTGAGATCGAAGTGGTCGCGGGAGACGTGTGTCAGGTATGAACTGATGCCCTTAGAGATGATTTTAATACCAGGTCTGAACAGGGCCTTAGTCAAGCTATTCATCAAAACATCAGCAGCAGGCTGAGGGTGGAAACAGGAAGCCTGCTTTGGATTGATGTGTCGTGCCGTTCCTGAATGTACAGTAGAATGTCAGCGTGTGTACACGAGCTACAGAAGCCCATCATCCTGTAATCACCAGCTGAGTGATTTGTCCCCCGTCAAAGGACAAGAGAGAGTTAACCTCTTCAGTAACTCACTGATGGCAGAATTAGATATATATCCCATTAAAGTCAGCTGAGTAGCATCATCACTGAGTGACCACTTGTCATTCCTATTCATCTCCCTCACTTCTGCCTCATAGTACAGTTATCTGTCAATCCCAGAGGGGACTGCTGTCTGCTGTGATGTAAAGGAAAACCAATACAGTCCTTGTCGTTACCTCAGCAAAGGAGGTTATGTTTTCAACCCATCTGTATTTATTTTGTTTGTTGGTTTGTTTGTTGGTTTGTAAATAAGGCTTTCAGAAGACTTGGTGGATGGATGGGGTGTGGATCAGGGTAGAACCCATTACATTTAGATTTGGATCTGCATCAGGGGCCAGATCCAGTAAATGCTTTTCATTTTCTTTAACATAGAGTTTTTAAACATTTCCCTGGTCTCTCAGAGAATAATTCATGTATGATGATTTTTATTTAAAATCAGCATGTTTAGGGGTCTGATATTGATTAGTGTGTGCAATTTGGTGCAGATCCAAATAAATATCTGGATCTAGTGAATTTTAATGTGGTTTCACAAGGGGACTGTATGTCCTCTACTGAGTTCCATTTAGTTTCAGTGTGTTACAGGATACAGACGCTATGGTTTTAAATCCACATGTTAATACTTTCAGATAGTAGGTCAGACCTCTGACAGCTCACAATGTTGATAAAATTATATTAGTCCATCAGGCATGAAGCATAACTGAATGAAAGGAGGCCCAATATATTTTTTGTAAGTGAACAAACAGAAGGTTTTTGTTATGCCTGTTTGGTTGATATGGTTTATGATTTTTATAAGGAAATGAAAGGAAAGCGAAAGGAAAGAAGATTTTTTCCCACTTATCTGCAGAAAACCGAGGTTCTTCTTTGCTGCAGGCACTTTGATCATCTGATCAGCAGACACACAGTCATTAGATGTGTGGGCACGTAGAGGTGTGTGTGTGTGTGTGTGTGTAGTGCAGACTGGGCGGCGCATACTGTAATTAAGGGTCTTATTCAGAAGTAGCTGAGGTCACCAAAGTGCACATGGACACACACAGTCTCACACTTGATTACATAATGAAACCAAATCATTATTCTAGAATCTTGTATCTACAATCTCTGCGACCCTAATTAAACTGGAGATGTGTTTAGAAAATGAAGCATGACACTTAGCAGAAACAGCAACAGCCCTGTTGCTTCTGTTTCATTAAATGTACTTTCAAAAACATTAAAAGCAGTGAGTCACTTTCAGGAGTCCGCAGCAGAATTTCATGAGAACGTACTGTAGTCAGTGATTTAAGACTTTCATTATGCTCAGCTCTGAATCAGCGTCACCGGTTTAAAATGGGCTGTTTGGGGTATTCTGTCTTTTCATCACTGAAACTGTGTTATTAGAAATCCATGTTACAATTCTGAATGTCTAAGTGAAACACTTTTGAATGTCGGAAAGACAGTTATGAATGAGTTTTCTATTGTTTATTTCATTCACACAACACTTTATTTATATTATATTCAACCGACAAAAATGAATAACAAAAATAAATGACTTAACTCATCATTCCAAGATTTGTAACATTGGAAATACTGTAGCTGCATGCAAGTATTACAACTATTGAGAAGAGGATCGCTAGCTTCGACTGTGATTGAACTAAATGCCTGTATACCATAGACTGTATATAAACATGGACAACATGACAGCTTCCCAAAAGTGACGCCAAAGTGTCATGATCGCCACCTTGTGCTTGCCTGCAGTATAAATCATACACCCTGCCTCCTCCGTGTAAGTGGATGGGACATAGACCAAACTAAGTCAGGGAACAGGTCAAATATATTTTGCACAGATGGTTTCTGTTATTTCAGAAAGTTCTCATCACAGTGATGTATATTCAAATTATTTATTTAATAAGTGTGAATTAGTTTTATGATGCTATAAAAACATGGTGAAACTTCATGATGACAGCAGAGTCTGACGTCAGTGCAACCTTGCGACCACAGCTCCATCCCCCCATCCCCCTGTCATCTATGAGCAAGATGGCAGCGTTTGTATTCGGGCTATTATTTGGCTTAATTCGTGGGTAGTGGGAGGAAGTGTACACGCGTCATCCATCCTTAAATACAGTCTATGCTTGTGACTAGGACCATGCTAACATTATTATTTAGCTTCATGAGCATCACAGAGCTGCTATCTTGACTGTAGTGTTCCAACAACCCAAAATATGTGACATGCTCACAATAAGTGACAATGCTAACATTCTGATGATAAGCAGGCGTAATTTGTTGTGATATGAAATTAGCTAATTATCACAAAATGCAAACAAGACTGCTGAAAGATGCCATTAGTTTACACATATTAAAAATAAGAGAGTAACCAAATGTATTGCTGTTTGTCCTGAGGCAATGCGAATGTCTATACCAAATTTCACTACAATCCATCGAATTGCTGTTGAAGTAATCAGTCCTGGATGAGTTGACCAATCAATCAATATTTCCATTCTGTAAGCAGGGATATAAACTTTTACATTTTATACTCACATATAATTTCGAATAACTTTTAAAACTTTCAAATTCCAGTTTTAAAGTCATGAGAATGTTACAATTAATTGAGTCTCCAGACTGGATTGATCCCTCCTCATCTTACACACTGAGCCGTCTGCTGAGCTTTGGGCAGCACCACTGTAACACCCCGAGAAATAATTTTCTGTTTCTGTGCTCCGTCATCGATTCCACCTTACATAATGGATTCCAGAGTCATTTATTCACACCACTGAGTCTGCTTTTCTGCCATGCTGGTGGCCGTTTCTGTGACAGGCTGAAATACATGTAAAATGGAGCTGAACTTCTCATTTGCTTTGTACTGCAGGAGATGAAACAAGCCTTTATTTCTGTGTGTGTTTGCAGATAGCTTGTCACCTCCCGTCAATGTGACCATCAAAGCGCTGAAAGCAAACTCTGCTGTGGTGACATGGGACATCCCCGAGGGAGACTCCGTCATTGGCTTCGCCATCACACAGCAGGTGAGCGACTCGCACAGTACACACACAGTACACACACAGTACACACACAGTACACACACACACACACACCATTTATATATGTAAATGTACCACCAGAGTGGATAACCTTTATGCAAGTATAAGCTACTCAAACACACACGCACAAATTCAATTAAACTGTGGTTCAGTCAACCATGAGATCATCACTGGTTGTTTTCTGTCATGTCAGGTTCTCTTTATTGTGCTGTTGCCTTGCTCTGAGTCAGTGTGCATTAAGGGTATGATCAGAGAACGCTGGTTTCTGTTGGACTGCTTGTCTGCTCTCAGACAAAAGCAGAGTTTGACAGCCAGGCGAATCACACATAGGAGCGCACAAGCACACACACGCACACAGGAAGTCACATACATTACTCAGTATGTTACTCAGTTCAAGCTGAGACATAGATTCTATTAGTTCACATGGGACGTCAAGCCGTCATCCATTGCAAAAAAAAAATCTATCTTTTGCCATGGAATTTTTTTTATGAAGCACTTCTCAACCTTGTTTAAAATAACAAATATAGTTATTATTATTATCTCATGATTGTATGGAGACAAACACAACATTTATTCATGCACATTGAAAGTGACATGCGTCACCCAAGATGATTACTACTGTAATTATATGTAGCAGGTATATTAGCTAAGAATATAATCTGAAATGTGGGGAAAAAGATCTGGACTCTTTTCCAAGGGTTGACAATCTGCTCATCAGCAGTTCTGCAGCTGAGAACTTAATATTGTGTATGTGGGTTATTCAATATCTCATATTTAAGTAAGGCAACTGACTCCTGGGTACAACATGTTTAGCTTGCAGACCTGGGAGTAATATCAAACTTTTAGCTGTTTACAAGAAATCAATCAATTTCCTAAATTACTAATGATTTAACAGTGATGCTTTAATGTGTGCGTCTGACTTTTACAATAACATCACTCTTAGTGTAGAATTGTCTTGTTTGGTCAAACGTTTCTGCCCCAGGGCTTCTCTGTGTCCAAAATAGAAACTACCAAACATCATTATACAATAATGATGCACCAGTTGGCCTCTCGGTGAAATGGACCTCCACTTTGCTTAATAGGCAATTATCTGATTTTTAAAGCCAAACTAGCTACATAATGAGTCGTGCCATGTTTTCATTTCCCCACAGCCCCATAGATGATCAATGTATAGTATTGTTCGAGAGCATATGACTAGAGACAAAACATCTCCCTGCAGTATCATGTTTATTACTTTCTCCCAACAGAAGAAAGACGTGCGCATGCTGCGATTCATCCAGGAAGTCAACACCACCACACGCTCCTGTGCATTATGGGACTTGGAGGAGGAGACCGACTACATTGTGCATGTCCAGTCCATCAGCATGTCTGGGACGAGCCCGCTGAGCGAAGCGCTGCGCTTCCGAACGCCGAAGGAGGCCGAGACTCAGGCCTCTAAGAGTAAAGGTGAAGTAGCACAAAAAGACGAACAGTTGCTCAGTCATGCAACACATATCCACACTTTCATATCCTCACTCTGTTTCTGTCCTTTTCAAGACAGTGAGTCCAGAGGGGACTTGGCCTTTCGACAATATCTGGACCGATTTTGTCTAAACCAATAAAGATCAATAGACACACAAAGCATGAAATGAAATTTCACATCAGAGTGCTGCTGAAGCTGGCCCCACTGACCACAGCTCAGGAATAATAGCGGCCGAGGGGGATGTATATTTCACTGTGTATTGATGTTCCTCTTTGGGACTCACCTTGCCTGCACCCAGCACCACTGCACAGTAATTCAGGATGAGACGAGGCATTCATCACAGAGGGAGGAGATAGTCAGAGCTGCGAGGGGTGGCAAATCGATGTGCTCCTCTCATTTACACTCATCTCTCATATAAGCTGCCACCATACTCAGACACAGGGTGCGGAGCCAGAAAGTCTAAAGATAAAAAAAAAACCAGCGCTTAAGGCATGCAGACTCCACCACTGAGGGCTAATTAGCACAAGAGGTGCTGTGAATATGTGGTTTGGGGGGGGGGTTACAGAAATCAATATCTGCACACAGGCTTCAGATAGACGAGTGCATACATGTGCATTTTACACACATATTTCAGTTATGATTTTTTTTCTCCTGCTGTTTTCAAAAGCCACAAAGGCACAACGGTGGCTCCAGCTCATTTACAATGCACAGAAATAAAAAAAAGGGGGGACCCGGAGCTAGTTACTGAGAGTGGTAATTACATTTTTAGAAGGAATAGTGAGCACAGGCATACACACACTCCTACACAAGAAAAAGCTCATTCACTTTCTGTTCTCTCTGCTGAGAGCTGGAAGATTGATAACTCTCCACTACTTTGTAGGATGCTAGTGCAGCAGCTGCCACACTTTACATAAACACTGAAACCTTCCAGCAACTCTGAAACACATTAACTGTACAAAAATCTAAATGTAGAAGTTAAAATTTACAGCTCTGATTTTCTCGGCCATTTAGACAATACTCTAGAATACACATTGTAGGTTTTTATTCTTGAGACAAATGTTAATTTGAGATTTTAGCAGTGTTGGGCAGAATGTTACTCTTGGCCATGCAAGCTATTTCTCCATGTTAACAGACTTTGAGCTAATGCCTGCTGTAAGCTAGAGGATAATCGTCCCGACTTTGGGTCTGATTCAACCCTCTGATGACCCCCGTTTTTTTTCTGAAGTCATGTATGATCATGTAAGTTTCTGTGAGTTCCAAAGTCTCTGGAATAGCCACCAAGAAATGCCAAGTGCATGGTCGTACATCTCGACTGGTTCGTCTAGTGTTTGCATTATCACAATTAAAAGATTTATAGTGGGTTGTGTCTGTTTTATGTGCTAATCCTAAAATCAAAAAGGCACAAGCTAATTAGTCAGTTGCTCGTTAAAGCAAGGTGGCAAGTTTACATACATTAGTCAACTTTAACTAATTACACAATCAAATATTAGACTGACTATGAATACTTTCATCATGTTGAGTATTTTGCAGAAGTCAGTCAAACATCTTGGAGAATATCTGGATGTTGTAAGTTATAGCATTAAGCAATGTAGGTATGAACATAAATATGTTTGTGTTTTGAATTTACTTATCACAAAAGCAGCATTGGAAACATCTATGCTGAGGAAATGATGCTGTACAGGCAGAGGTCAAGTTTATCTAGGATGCTGTGAAAACATAGCTGAGCTACTTCAAATTTCCAGCAGACATGAACGTGGCATGATTGCCGTCCAGGTTTAGGATGGCTTTGTAATGTGTCTTTGTAACAGCATGACAGCTAATATAAACGTCAGAAGAATGAATGATGAATAAAAGGATGTTCTGCCTTTTCATCTTCACTAACATCAGATCGGAAGAAAGGATTTAATTCCAGCCACTTTTTTCTTTTTCTTGCATTGTGGCTTTGACCGTTCCATTTGGTTTACTGGCTCTCTGGCATGACATGAGCTTTAGTGATGAATGAATATGAATGCAAAAATCTATTTCAACTAGATTATGCAAACTGCGTCGTTTCTTGGGCTCCAGCACCATTACAGTGTGTTGTGTACATGGGAGTAGCATTGATCTTCTAATATGACTCACAGACAGAAAAAAACAAGGACGTTTTCCAAAATGTCAGCCTTCCAGTTTTTAAATGATGCTGTTGAGTCGAGTGCAGTTGATGCCTCTGTGAACGCTTGTTTGCCTGTTTTATTTGGAAGGCTGTTAAAGGGAGCAGCACTCTGCCTCAGCTCAATAATCCATCCCCCCACAACATGAAAGATCTCCACATTGGCACGCTCAGTCTACACACATATACATTTCCCCACGCTTCCCACCATGCACACATTTCACAAAGCAAATCTCCACACAGCACGTCTGTAATTCATCAGCCTGTAACTACTCAACAACAGTTTCTCAGTTCGACTCAACACCCCTCTGTCTCGTTTACGCTGCTTGTTCAGGGATATCTGTTTAATAAGCTGAGCCACGTTGAAACCATGAAACCTTTTGATGAGGGTTTAGGATTGGGAGAATCAAAATCAGTGGGCAAGAGCAATTGTTTAAACCGAGCAGGATATGTGGGATCTTTATACTTTATTGATGCTTTATTTTGAATGATTTGCAAATGTTTTTCTACCGACAATAGGTTGATAAATTTAGTGATAACTAAACATTTTCATTTCTTTTTATTTGACATTCTTTGCTTATCCTGCAAATTTCCCATCAGCTGGAGTAACATGAATAGAGAAAACTGAGCTTCTGTTTTTTTAATTGCACAGTGAAGTTATTGCTACTTGAATGGAGAGTATGTTGCTAATGTAAAAGATGGACTTACAAAATGAGTCAAAAAAAGAAAAACAGACGTTGTCTTTTACTGCTCATAATCTGCACAGCGAGTGTGGGAGGGACAGTCTCTCAGCACAGCTGTAGGTCCTTTGTCTGGGTATGACAAGCAAACGTCCCAAGAAGAAAAGGGAGGTTTTCACCATCCCCGCTCATCTGCTCATCCCTTCTGTTCACGCTGAACTCGGTGCAAAGAGTGAAGGATAAGTGCGAAAGCTGGATTATTCCACGTCTTCTCATTTCCTCTTCACAAAAGGTTTAAGCTTCCGTAGATCAAACGATGCGAGAAAGAAAGGAAAATGAAAAAAATAAAAGAACAGCAAAACCTGTGCACAAAGCAAGAGGAAGAGATGGAGTCAGAGAAAGAGTGAAGGGAGGGAAAGAGTAACTGACAGAGGAGGAAAAGGGAAGAAGTCACAGTGTTACAGGAGATATCCTGACAATTAAAATTGACTGTCTCTCACACGCTCTCGCACGCACGCACGCACGCACACACACACGGAAAAACTGTAATAGATCTGACTTCCCCTGATCTATTATCGGGAGAACGTCCTCTCTCTGGCCCTGCTGGAAACTTCTCAAAAACTAAGAATGGAACAAAGCGACTCTGCCACATAACAGTTTGATATATTTTTCAAAACAGGGCTGCAGTGAAGTGTTGCTTCCCTCAACAGCTCTCCAACATATGAACACAACTTTTCTTTCAAACTATGTGTGGCCATGGAAATAAAAGCAGCAATATTAAAGACACGGGACAAATCTAACACGGCTGTGGCACCTTAAAGGAAAAGGTCAACATTTCGCCACACCTCGAGCCTTATTGGGAGAAACCAAGATGCAACAATGAAACATTTGTTGGAGAAGAGATGTTCCGTGAATAACTTACAAAAGGAGTTGATATGATGTTGAAAAGCTGACAGATCTATTGTCTCGCAGCAACTATCCAACATTCACAGACTAGTGGGAGGCAGTGGAGACACATTGTTCATCTTTGTGAACAGTCTACGCTAGAACATCTTATAAGTTTATCCTGTAAGAAAAGAATATTTACAATTTCAATGAGTAGAACTATATATCACAACATGCTTGATTTTTATATTAACAATAATTTCAAAAACAATTGTTTGGGAATTAATTATGGTAAACATTTTTATATTTAAAAGCTACACATATTGGGTTTTCAAGCAAATGTACTTGAAACAAATATATTGTATAGTAAATTTCTGCATATCAAGAAAGATTGTGGTGATAACAGCCAACGCCAGTGTCGATGTGCTGAGAACAAAAAAAAACATGATTTCCGCAGCAGAATTAATATGTTACATCCTGCTTATACCTGCTGGACCACCTGTAACCTGAATCCTGCGGTGCATCAACGTCCATGCACCAGGTTTTTACCTAATTCTGTGTTGAATAAAAGATCAGGCTGTGGTCACTGAGCATTAGAGGTGTTACAGTTGACCAGTTAGCCCCAGTGAGGCCCTGTTCTACTCTGCTTTGGTTGGTTAACACTATACAACAGAGGCCAATCGATCTGCAGAATTGCTTGTTGCTAAAAGCCACTGGAGCGCGGGGTTCCTGCGCGCTGGGCCCTCGAAATGTCACCCACTGTATCTAATCAAAAGAAAAGGAGTGCTCTGTCCACTGTGGTGAACTTTAGATAAAGCCTCTGACTTCCACAACATTCAGCAGTGCGAGAAAAAGCTACAACGTGTGGTTGCTCTGTTTGATAGATGCCTCCCCTCCTCTACAGGAAAGACTTGTGTATGTGAAACCAAGATCTCTGTGATACCTCCCCTTAAGGCCATTCCACTGCAAAGATTAAGGTGAAGTTTTATTGAGGTTGGTGTAAATTGATCCTGGCTGCTCTGATTAACTTTTTCCCCCATTGCTTCAACTCTCTATCACACTGTAAAGTAGAGAAATCCCCAATAGCCTAGATGAAGCCTTGACTGTCCTAACGTTCTGCCTTTCTGTGATCATTTGACTCCATCAGACGCTCAGAGAATTTGGTCTAATAATGATCATGCTTGAATACACCAACATATACATGAAGTATATCTTTTAAAAATCTGCTTCTCTACTGTAACCAAGGTCCTTAACAACACCTGCGCTGCTGCTGCCAACCATTACCGTGCTGCACCTATAATATGGGGTGATGGAACCAGGAGTAGATGAGCTGATAAGTGGCAACATCCCTTATACTGTGATCTTAATGGGTAAAAGCACAAGAATAATAAAACCCTTGAGGAATAAGATGGCTGTGATATGGTTACACCAGCACTCGATAAGAAAAAAGAGCTAACAGAAAGACTGCAAGGAAGTTCGAGATCTCCGGAGAGGGAGAATACAAACGTTGAATAACTTCTGTCTGGAATAAAAGCAGAAAGTACATCAATAAAACCCCAAATGTATAAAATAACTGAGCAATATATTTCAGTCTACTTTATAGCAATATACATCCAGAAACTTGCTCTCTCAGGAACAGAAAAACAACTAAAAAGGACTAAAAGTTAATATATATGGAGAGCCCAGTGAAGGATGTCTCAAGTGTGCCCTCTACTGGCCCCAAAATAATGTAGCAGAAGAAAAACAGCCCTTACATGAAATGAAGAAGAAATGAAGAACTCCTCCGATGAATGTGCATAAAAAAAAAAATAAAACCAACGGCTTACCATCCAAAAAATACATCGATAAGACTATGAAAACTGGGTAAATGTTGAATTAAAAAATGTGCTGTTGGCAGAAATCTATGCCAAGAGCATGAGACAGAGCTTATGACTTTGTGGTCATGGGAGATATGAGTAGCAGGTGCAGCAACAAAGTAATGACCAAATTAAAAATGACCATGAAGTGTTTTACAAGCTTGTAGATAAACCCATTAACAGCAATTTCAAAAAAGACAATTAGGAAATTTTGCAGAGACACTAAAGTGCACTCACACTGCTTTTCACAGTCTCCTTCAGGGACTGTAAAAATGTTATTTGGGAGGGGACGTTCATATTTCACACTTCCCTAACGTTATTAGGATGAAAATATAACCTCCTTGCAGATGTAAAATGGTTCATTTATCTATTTTGGTCAAACGTATTTTACTTCCTTTAACAGACTAAAAGCTGCTTTCAGACATGCACTGAACTCTGCAGATCCCCAATATTTTCTATGGAGGAGGAGCACGTGTGAACGCGAACGTCCGAGTGGTGCCTCCAAAGTTTCTGCGGACTTTCTCCTTCTGGTATAAAGTCCACGCAAAGTCAGGAGAGTAGAACACAGCAGTTGATCCCCCGCTGGAATCACCACGAGCGAGTGGGGGTTGAAGACGTGTCCATCATACGACAGACACAAACATTTAAAAAAAAAGAAATATCTGCTTATGAAAAAGCTTTGACACATTCAGACGAAGATGTCAAGAGTTTGTGGTGATAAGAGCTGATGACGGTGTCGGGTGCTGTAAACATGATCATGTGATCTCTGCAGCAGAGTTAAGACGTTACTTCCTGCCTCCGCCTGCTGCACCCGGCTGCTCCATCTCTCGCCTAAATAATGCAGATGCGGATTTGGTGCTGTTGTGAACGCGGTAAAGTCCGAACCCAATTCTCTGGACTTTACCCACAGGTCATGTCTGAAAACGACTTTATTAACATGTTGCCTCTTGACTCCTACAGACGAAGTGACGATGGAGGAAGTGGGCCAGACCACCCAGCTGAGGGCGGGGGAGCTTATCATCATCGTGGTGGTGCTTATCATGTGGGCAGGTGAGGACAAAGCTGATCAATAAACCAGGATCAGGCAGCTTCACGTGCACTATTTCTGCTGCAGCTGGGATTGTGTGTTTGGGGGATAATCGGAGCTGGCTGTTTGGTAAACACTTCCTTTCTATTCCCTCTCAGGTGTGATCGCTCTCTTCTGTCGCCAGTACGACATAATTAAAGACAACGAGCCCAACAACAACAAGGACAAAGCCAAAAACTCCTCGGAGTGCAGTACTCCTGAACACCCAACAGGGGGGCTGTTGCGCAGTAAGGTATAACCCACCCCCTCCTCCTCCTCCTCCTCCTCCTCTCCCCGGGTGCCTCCCCCTCAGCACCACCGGGCAGGTGAATGGTCCCGGCCACTTCTAGACGTTTTATGCTGACACCTCATGCGCGCTCATAGTGTCATCACCAGCACCAGCTTAAAACACTACTTCAACGTGGCACCATCACGTGCATGACTTTGCAGCTCTCAGCCGCAGACAAACTCATATCTTTGCTTCCGGTTCTTTTTGATCAACAAACGGAGCCACATATACGTTTCCCTCTCTATTCAGGAGCGTGGTCTTTCAGTTTGAGGGCAGGACTTCTTGTGATGCTTTCACTCAAAACAGCTTGCACTTAAATATACCCTGCTTGTGTTTAGATTTCCTGGGATTCAGTTCTCATCCTTGCACTCACACTGTTTCTGTGCTTGCGTGATGTGTTTGCACCTCAACTTCTCCTCTGCTCTCAAAATTCCCCAACCAATAAAATACCAGGTGTGGCGTTGACAAGTGGAATTGTCCCCCCCTCGTTGTGCTTGTGTTAGTTTTATGTATGTGAGAGTCCCATAAGGGTTGTTACTTTAACTGGGTTCATGCTCTCCCACCCTCCATGGCAGCAAAATCAAGGATTTCAAGTCTTTTTATGTTATGGGACCAGTATTACCAGCCAAAAAATAAATAAATGACGTTGCCCTGTTTCTTTTATCCCTTTATTTTATGGGAACAGCACCAACAGCAGAGGTTATGAAACAAGTGCAGGGCAATTTCATTTTTCCAACATAACATCTGGCATTCTATTGGTTGGGGAATTTTGACTGACCTGTCATCCCAGCGAGGTGTTTCACATGCAGACAGAAGCAGCATGAGCACAGGACATCTAAGCACAGGCAGGGTGTATGAGACATTACAAAATGTCAACATGAAATCAATAAGTCCTGCTCTCAAACTGAAAGACCACGCTCCTGATAGGGAAAATAACCTTATACATACCATGTTCATCTCCTGTGTTCAAAACCAGAGCAGGAAACCAAGGTCAAAACAAATCTTTGCTCTCCCTTTCAAAACATAAAAAACCATCCAGAGGCATCCTCATGCTTAATGAAGGCATTTACAATGTGATCCCTGTGAGTCCTCCTGTCTCCTCATACCTGTCATCTTCCCATTTTCCTCCCACAGTTCTCCAAGAACAACAAGATGCCATCTGTTAACATCATTGAGGTGTGACTGCCAGGACGTCACCTCTTTATCCGAAAGACTTTGTGTTCTCACAAACAAGCGGGGCCCCTTTTTAAGCCCATCTGCTTGTCAGGATGAGGCTGGGACTCTGGGCCCCTCGGCATGGGGCCTACTACTCTCTTTTGGCACGGGGCATGGTGCCAAGATGATGCTGCAGGACAACAGGGACTCAGACACGAAGACCTGGCCGGTGCAGCTCTGAGAGCGGAGTCGGCAGTGGAGAGACTGCGGCTGGAGTTGAGTGGCTTCAATGTGCTCAATGACTTTGGTACCATGGGGCAGCAGAGATTAGGGCCAAATGGCTCCAGAGGTGGAGCGACTGCAGACAAACCAACCACAGGGACCAAAACCGATAAAGAGAGCCACAGCCCTTTTATTCTCTCTCCCCCTTTGTCACCTCTTTTCTTGCCGTCTTTCAGTGCGTTATCAAAAGCCACAAACCTGGAGCTTATTACCTAGTTTGGGTTGCACTGGGATGCATCCACTTTGTCAAATTCATCCCCTGTAACTCGATCTCAGCATCTTCTCTCTAATTTCTTTTATAACATCCTGTTTTTAACTCTAAATACTGTAGATTATTCAACTGTATCACTGTAGTTTTACTTCTTTGATTTTCAACATGGTGCCACCAGAGCACACCTGTTGTTCTGGTATCTTTATTTTCTTCATTTAGACCCCCTTTTCTCCTCTGAAAGAAACTCATTATCCTCCTGTGGGAAAGGTTTTATTCTCGCGAGCTCATTTTCCCACCTCAGGGAATCCAGACTCAACCTGACAATTTAGGAGTCATTTATTAGATTAGCGTTAGCAGGATCACTCGGCTCATTACCAAAGCGGAATTTCCCAAATTTGTCAAAAAATAAATAAAGACAAAACTCTTAAGGTCGCATTGAAAGTCATCTCCGATTTGAACACATGTAAACAGTGAAGTCCTTAACATTTACTGCGGTCACACTTTGGATTTCAACATTCTATTACTTCTGTCCTGTTTTTTATTATAGATTTCTGAAATGCTACATTCCACCTTCCAGAATGAGCCCTTTAGTATTTCCTTGTGTCTTTCTCTTAGAGGGTGATGGATTTCAGAGCATTTCTGGGCGGGGGAGAAAAAGGAGCTGCCATAGTGGTGTGCATTCATCTAATTAATGAACTTCAAAAAGGGGCTGGACTTTGTGGACCTCTACAGAGGAGTGGACTGAAGAAATCCCTCGCATCAGCAATAATAGCCCTCAGTGGAGTGCAGGAGCCAGGACTCTGTGGCATCTTCGTCCTAAACTCAACCTCCCACGCAATGTTCGGACAGATGATGAAACTGAACATATGTGAGGGAATGAATGCTGAATCTGAGTGAGATAAAAAGTTAAAGCGCTGTTGTAAAAACTTTAGTTTCTGATGGCTAGCATGAAAAATAAACTTTTTTTAAGCGCCCAAAATCTTCAACCCTCAGACTGCTTCGTGACGTCCAGAAGAGATGTCGCAAAGACAGAAGGGCTTCGATCAAAAACCTTTTCTCAAATCAAAGTCAAAATTTGTGTTGAACTCAATGTTAAAGAGGCTAAAACGCAGAGATAAGAAGGTAAACTGTGATCTGTAAGCAGGACTTGTTTTAAGACAGTGAAATGGTGTATTTGAGGGCTGATCTAAACTCAGTAGTACTGCCTTAAAAGTAATATCTTGTGTTTTCACTAACATGATGGAAGTATATCAAGTTTGTGTCATCTGCTTTATCACATGATATTTAATTCAGCGTGCAAAGTAAAAGGAAATATCACAGTAAGTATGAAAATGTGGAGGAAATGTTTGGCATTTAATGTGTACATACATTTTATATTTCATTCTTGTTTGGTGGTGTGACTTTAGCGAGTCTTTTATGAAACATGACACTAATGTGAACAATGTATAGCCTCAAAATATAGGAGGGCATTGCTACTGGGGATTGTTATGTTATGCACAGCTACAAAAGTCATGATATTAACAAGCTTTTTCCATAGCAGCCCTCTAATATGTATTTTTTAATCACATTATATCAATGTGATTTTTGTGTACAATAGGAAAATACTTTTATGAGGAATGTAATTCAAAATATTTGAAATAATCAACCACACTTATCGGTTAACAGCCGCTGGAAATCTCCATTGACAGGCAGAGCGATAAACCCTCTTACTCTGCACTCATTTTGCTGAGCATCGTGAGTGACTTGTGAACAAATATGGTATGTGCACACAAACAGATCACAACGCCAACAGTAGTGAACTGAGGAAGGCTGCAAAGGCAAGTAAAAGAGCAGTGAAGGATACGGTCGGGTAGAGCAGGTAGACTAATGACTAATGCAGTGGAAGGCTTTTATCACTCTCTTCCTTCCTCCACCTCCCCCTCTCGCATCTTTCACTCTTAATAAGAGAAAAAGCTAAAGATTGTGCTCCCTAAGAAAGCACCTGACTTGTGTCAGAGGCAGGAGTGGGTTTAAGGTAAAGTCAGAGTGGGAAAAGGGAAAAGAGACTGATTCACTCAGACATTTGTGCTGTTGCCAGGACAAACATGGTGATGTCACTATAACAGCGCTGTGCTGCATCACTCCAGAGGGATCAGCTCTTCACCCCAAACTTTTGTGGCTGAAGGCTGAATCCATTTTTTCCCCCGGAACAAAGCACTGGTTCCTCTCCGATCGATAGGCCTCCATCCACACAGAAATGGTTTGTGATGATTGTCTCCATGGAAGGTTTCTCTAGACTAGTGCTATGCCTTAAGTTTCCAAGTAATATATGTCTCAGCAATGCTCCCTGTAGGCACTCTTTATTTACTTTCCTCCTCTGCAGTCGCTTCAATAAGTTAAACTTCAGCTAGCAAAATAAGAGGTTTACTTTCAGAGCCTTCACAGCTTTGACTGATTAAAGTTGATCCAAACAGTGCATCATCATGTTCACATTATGGTTCACCTCTATGTTGCCACTGTAAATAATGTATTACTGGTTTAAATGTGGGGCTACAATACATTCACTTATGTGGAAGGTTGTCCAACTGTTAAAGAACATTTTGCATTAGATTAGAAGATCAATACCACTTCTATCACATTTATAATATAAATATGAAGCTACAGCCAGTGGCTAGTTAGCTATAGAAACATTGTTTAACAGAGCTAAGCTAGCGGTTCCCGTTTTCAGTATATATTCAAAGCTATGCTAAGCAGCTGCTGGCTGGAGCTACATAGCTCATGAGTTATATTGATCAGCTCATCTAATTCTTTAACCTTGATTAAGCACATTTCCCAAAATACTGAACTACTTATTTAGACAGCAGTAGGCTGTCTGCGTATAATCTATGTCATGTGCTTCTCAGTTTGATGTTAACTGCTGTGGAGCATCATTAGATTTTACATAGACGTGGGTTTGACTCTGGGGCAGCATACAAAGATGGACAACACATCTCGACTTCCTGCTTTTATAAAAAATTAAGCCGAAACATGGGTGCCGCCATCTTGCACATCTGATGTCCTTTGGAGCCAGAATCTGCGTAAATGTGATTGTGTTGCAGAGCCCCGGTAGAGGAAACCAACTTACTGGAAAAAAATTGAACTTGAACGAACATCAGTGTGATAAAAACTACCTACAATGACAGAAACAATTTTTGAGGAAAATTAATTCACATACTGCAGCCAGCCACCAGGGGGCAATTGAAATGTTTTGGCTTCACTTTTGTGAAACTGTCATGTCAGCAATCTTTATATACAGTCTATGGTTTGACCAACATTCACAAAAAGAGGGTGTTACATGTTGGGTGGGTGAGTGGAAGATGCCTCCACACATTTCATACGTGGTAGCGTAGCATACACTCAATCAGCCACACAAGACCTTACTCCTGAAGAGAAACTGAGTTTGGTTGTTTGTTGTCATGAGAACCACTGATGCATCTGGTTAGAACAGGCTAAATACACACCTGTCCACAGCAGATAGACAAAACTTTTTTCCTTTAAAACAAATGGTGATGACTGTAAGAACTCGACATTCCACTTGAGACCTGTGGTGTGAAGCCACAACTCCACACTGAGGACTTTGTTTCAGTGCCAGAGGCCCAAGGCGTTTCTCAAGCTACTTTATGTACCATACAATGCCTGAAAGAGAACAATATGCTTGGTAGCTGTACTGGACGATTTTGTGATGTATTAGACTAGAAACATGCCAGGAAGTTGAGACTATTTTGTCAAGGGGTTATTGAAATGAGATCCACAAAGAAGCATTGTTTAGAGAAACTGCTTTATTAGTGCTATCATGTTTATATTCATTGTACGAAGTGTACAGCAGTCATTGCTTAATGAGGGCTAGCATGATTTAACTATTATGCACAAGGTTACACAACTTCTATTATGAAGAGTATGGTGTATGCTTACTTGTGTATGCTTCATTAAAATATGTAATATTTTCCACAAAGGCATGTGTTTGATGTTTATTGGAAACACTAAGTGGTGATATTTAAAAACAAAATATGAAAGATCGTTGAAACCTTTCTGGGCAACAACGGAAAAGTCATGGTGATGGTTTTCTTAAGGAGAGTTTTTCAGAATCCAGATGGACAGGATTTTATTTTTTTTGAATAGTAAATGTGAACCTCAGCCTTTATCGGGCTTCAGCTGTCAAGATTTTTTTGCCACCAAACAAAAAAGCCCACCTACAACTTGCTCTTAACTGTTACTGTGCAGACAACAGAGTTTCATGGAAAAAAAGAAAAGAAAAATGGATTCGGGCAAATGCATTTACTGTCGAGTCAGTAAGTTGCGTCAGAAAACGAGCCTGAAATGATAATGGCTTCAAAATCAAGTTCAATAGCATAATACAACAAATCACTTGGATCTGACCCGATACCCATTTTAGATTATGTTTCTGTCTGTGCATCAATAGAAGAGTAGATATCTGGACTGGCAGGTGATGATGGGATTTTGTAGTGATGGATGACTTTTATCTCTCACCGTATTTTATATTCAGTTGTGTGGTTTGTTTTTTAAGAAAGTCAGATAAAAACCCAGACTCTGGCAAGGGAAAACTTTGTGAGAAGGTGTAGAGAGGTGCTGTGACTGCACACGTGCCTCCCAGCCTGCACAACATGTGTCACGAGGCTTTCACTGACACCCTTACACCTCTGCTTTCTGGGTGACTGCTCAGGGACAGGCTGCCCCACTATCTGAACAGACAGGATTACTTTAACAACCTGCATTATTCAATGGCTGGAGCCCATGCTGAGAAATTTCATGATCCAATTTACTCCCCATGTCCCTTTTCTGTCAGCCTGTACCTGCGCACAGAACTTTAGTTGAATAACAATGCAGCATTGTCGCCATACCACGATGACGCCTCAAAAAGATTAAGGGAACACTTAAATCACACATCAGATCTTGATGAACAAATTATCCATGGTGAAAAACTTTACTAATGTACTTTATATTATTTGTTGAAAACAAAATATTGTAACAACGGTCAAACCAAAATCATTAACCCATTGAGGGATGGATTCAAAATCATACCGAAAATCAAAGAAAAAAGTGATATCACAGGGTAATCCAACTTGCGTGACTTTTATCACAGTCACTCATAATGTTTCTCAGTACTGTGTATGGCCCCCACATGCTTTTATGCACACCCAACAATGTCTGGGGATGATCCTGATGAGATGGCAGATGGTTGCCTGGGGGATCTCCTACTAGACCTGGATCAGGGCATCAGTGAGCTCCTGCAGCAGCGTCCAATGCACCGATACACAATGTCCCATAGGTGCTCAATTGCATTTAGTTCAGGGGAGAAAGAGGGCCAGTCGACGGCATCAATGCCTTCATCATCTAGGAACCGCCTACACACTATGGCCACATTAGGCCAGGCGTTTTCCTGCACCAGGAGGAACCCAGGGACCACTGCACCAGCATAAGATCTGGCAATCTCTCTGAGGATTTCATCCTGGTACCTAACAGCAGTCAAGGTACCGTTGGCTATGACATGGAGGTCTGTGCGACCCTCCAAGGATATGATCGGGCCGCAGATACCAACTCATGCTACTAGTAATGACAAGGACACTAGCAGAACACAAAACTAACAAAGAATTAGTCAGGAAGGATAAAGAGAGAGCAGCTGTCTGTGGCCAGCACATGCAAAACCATTCCATTTTTGTGGATTGTCTTTATTTTGCTTCTCCATTGCACCTTTTGTCACTTTAATTTGCACCAAAGCAGATGAAACTGATCCATTATGACTTGTGCTTCCTAAATAGATGGATTGAGATCCCTGAAATTTAACTGACTTGCTGTGATCTGTAAGGTGGACTTGTTTTAAGACAGTGAAATGGTGTACTTGAGGGCTGATCTAAACTCAGTAGTACTGCCTTAAAAATAATATCTTGTGTTTTCACTAACATGATGGAAGTATATCAAGTTTGTGTCATTTGCTTTATCACATGATATTTAATTCAGCGTGCAAAGTAAAAGGAAATATCACAGTAAGTATGAAAATGTGGAGGAAATGTTTGGCATTTAATGTGTACATACTTTTTATATTTCATTCTTGTTTGGTGGTGTGACTTTAGCTGTGACCATTAAGTGTGTTTTTTTGAACAGCATATTTAAAGAGCTCTTTACCAGCAGCTCTGTCTTGCCCTGACACAAACACAACCCTGCTCCGACTCTGGGGATCGTGTTCTTAACTCAGCACCTGTGGCACTTCCATACAATGTTAGGGATTAATGAGATAAAGAAGCAGATACAGTACAACGTAGTCGCTGCTACTCTATTCAACAGAAATTACTGAAAGCATTTCCCTTATAACACCGAGTGGTTGAGTTAAAGCTGTTGAAAAGAATTTGAAATACCCAAAAATAATGTTTCTCCTGACACCTCAGATGAGAAGTATTGTACTCAGGAATTCTGTGTGCACAACAATACTTCTGAAAATCTCAAATATGGAGATACTGTAAGTCAAATGAAGTTTGAACTTCTGGGACTTTGAGTGGCCAAATCTCCCTGAATATGGGTCACAGAGAGATGGTTCTCATTTCATCTTAAAGCTCTTTATCATCCCCATAATAATCTTATCTATTGTTAACTCCACACACACCTCCAAGGAGTCAGTGATGCGAGGCCACTACAGATGAGTAATCTAATTCAAGTTATCTCAGTAACGACTCAAAAAACATCTTGATGACATTAGAAACTTACTTTAGAGAAAATTTTAACTATTTCAAAATATGGTTTACAATTCAACTTTTATATTGACTCATAATGTATGTTAACTACATTGTAGTTAACATACTCTTTAAATAATTATGGAGCTGGAAAAGTAATAATAGGACCATTTCTCTGTGACCAGTCAAAATCACAAAGTCCCCCCCAAAAGTACAAACTTCTTATGGCAAAATTTCCTTTAATAAGGATCCAAGAAGGATAGAATTTCTGTTCCAAGTCAGCATGCCAAATTTCTCTAAGACCTGTGATGGTATGGCCCAAAAGTGTGAAGATTTGACATGGACTGACCCAGAGGCAGGGTTTCTGGGTTGACAATAACCCACATTGTTTGATAAACAGTTAACTGACAACGTCAATGTCACAGGAATCATTCAATAAACCTGCACAGGCTTTTCAAGTTTCAAATATTTAATTCTTTTAGCTGTTGCCATTTAAACATATCTACAGAATCAGATGCTGCATGGAACAAGAATTCAACAAGAACATACACATCCTCATTTAACTCGAATCCTGAATGGACGTTACGGTGAATACTTCTGTAGGAGACAACAAAACCAATGTGCAAATTGGCAAATGGCAAAAGTACGAACATACCCAAACACACTTTAAAACAGGCTACTAGAAATCTAGTAAAAAGGCAGACTTTTAAGATGCTTCAAATGCCTAAGTGCTTGTTCTGCCGTGCAAGTTGTAAACACCCCTTAAAACATGCATAGATTTTTATATACAAAGAACATGCAAAGTTTAAAGTAAAAAAACGGACAAATCAAAACTACACGCCACATATTAAACTACGAAAGAAAAACAGTGCAAACATTGATGTGAGGCCCTTTTGGTAAGTGCAATCTTCCCCACAAGTTCTCAGGGAAACGGGTTCCTTTCAAAAATTTTGGGGACGTTGGCAAAGCGCTTGTATGTTTTTGAGTTTTTTTCCTGCCATTCATTGAGAGACATTCTTGCCGTCATATTTCCAAAGTGTCTCTGGTAGTTCCTGAAAGTAAGCACAGATACTGAGCTGCGTACTTATACCATGTGTCTTCATACCATTTATAAAGGTTTTTATGTCCTACCTTTACTCAAGAACAAGGTCTGAGAGAAGGACTTATTTATTTCAAGTTTAGATTTTGTTATGCTATCACTCAAAATCCTGCGCTTACACTCAAACAGTACCACTTGCTCTGCCTGTGTTCAAACTGTGCACTTGCACTCAGATATTTTGTAGCTTGGATAGATTTCCTGCGCTTCAGCTCTTCTCCTCTTGCTGACAAGGTTTCTTTTCTGCTCTGGGATTTCTCTTGGATTGTTTTTGTGCAACAAGTCAAAACAAATTTCCCAACCAATAGAATTACGGGTGTAGTGTTGACAAGTGAACTCATCCCTCCCCTGTTGTGGGAGAGGACTTCTTTAAGAGTCCCATACTTTAACCCATTAAGACCTAACATTCCGAATAAAACAGTCTCTTTACCTGAGTATTGTTTGAAAATAATCATCTAAAACCTGAGGGTTTAGCTATCGCTAACACACCCGTTAACGTGAAATCAGTTTTACTCTCAAACCACTGTCATGAATAAAGATACAAGAAAAAAAAAATTCAGAATGAGAGAACCCCAGTGAGAGTGATGTACCTGTGTGTGAGGTCGGAGGGATGCTGCCACTGTCTGCCATTAGCCCCACGCGTATTTTTAGCCACATGGGTGATGAGATTGAAGAGCTCAGTCATGACATCTTGAGAAAAAGAAATTACCATGATATAGACTTTAGGTGACCATTGGTGTGTCTGTACTGCACTGCTATATTATCTTATTAGAGACAACGTCAGTGAAGTTGTGTAAGACTTCATACCTTGAGTTGTTCCTGGATGCTCTTGCATGTGTTTGGTGACAGAGTGCACATAGCTCTGCTTTCTACTCTCCCAGTCCATGTCCATGTCCTCTGGCCTGAAAAAGGATAATATGTCTTAACTGCCAGTCAACCATAGAAGACATGTCATGCTTCAGAAAGCAGTGTTCGAGTAAAGTGAAAGCAAAACCATGCTCAATTAAGATGGTTCTGCAAGAATATGTGGCCATTATCAAGATTAGACAGTCACCCTCACAACCGCAGCCAAAACGTCCACAGTGTGTTTAACATGGTCATAACATCTCCATCTAGAGGTGAAACCATTACAGTACCTTTTTCTTTTGCCACTTTGGACACATCTGTTACTGTCTTCCAGCTCTGGCACAGAAGATGCTGTTGTTTTACTCCTGTTGCTGGAGCTGCTGGAGCTACTGGAGCTGCTGCTGGTTGTGCTCTGCCTGGGAGCCACCACAACTGATTTCACCTTGAGAACGCAGATGCTGATATGTGTGAACATACAGTATTTACACTTCATCCTGTAAAACATGAACTCAGTAAGCAGCTGGGTTTTCCATTATATGACTTTAAAAAAAACACACAAAACTAGGCTGAGAGACTTCTACCACTGAAGAGAGATGAACCTGAATTGGCTTTTGTACAAGACATTATTTTATTCTGAGACTTAGGTATAAAAAGTAGAGTTGTCATGATATACTGCTTTTATTGGAGTGAGTGGAAGTGTCAAATCAGAGCTTTCTGACATAGACAGATACACACTGTGGTTCACAGCAGAATAAACTGACAAAATTATCTTTCACCTGAGTTTTAATGTTTAACTGTTGAATTTAAGTCACAAACATAAATGGTTGCAACGCTTTCTGTATACATAAAAGCACTCCAGCTTTTCTGTTGACTAAAACCATTATTTTGTTTAAAAAAGGGGGTTTAATTGTGAAATATTTGCAGGAAGATGTACAGTTTAATACTGTATAGTACTGGTATTTATTTGAGTACACAGAACTCATATTTATGGCCATATTCAAGACAAGCCTATGTAAAAACATTCTGCTGTAGTAGCAGCTCCTCTGCAGAACATATTTCTGAACTGAGAAGCTAAATATTGTGCATTGAACAATTGCTGTAAATATGAATTGACATTAATGTGAATATTGCGCATTGAATCGATAAAGTTGCATAACTGCTTTACTTTGTGTATATTTGTGCTCGTACATTGAGCCTGTAACAGAAATTGCTTTACTGTTTGTTTTACTCATTATTCAGCAGAGGGCGCTCACTGTCAGCTTGAAGTCTAAGGTTGCATCTGATTGCATCAGTTTTCCACAATGTGTTTTTTTTGTAGTTTGCTAATGCATGCTAATATCTGTGTTGTTGAAAAAGAAAAACACACAAAGACATTTAAACTGTGGACAACAACATATTCCTTTTAAAAAATAAATTTTAAAGCACAGCGGAATTACTCTTAAAGGAATGTTAACATAATTAAGACCTACCAAATTGTATTAAAGATCTGGTAAGTAATATTTAAACTAATTCAAGACTCTCGAAGGCCTAAAATTAAGATTACTAAATTATAGAATTAGTGAAAAACAACAGCTTTTGCTGGGATTTGGGAAATATTGTAATGAAAATGGTCCAAAATTGTGTGAAAAAACACATCATCACAATGCCCAAACACTTCCCCTCAAAGCCTTCACAGTACATAAGTCCACCGGAGAAACCCTGAACATTTCCACATACCCAGAAAGCAGATGAGTAAGTGAAACTGAGGCAACTCACCTGTACTTGTGGAGATAAGGTGGTTTCATAACCAGTTTCATAACTTGTGTCAGTTGACTGGGCAGTGGCTTTGTCTCTTCTACCTGTGTCCTGACAGTCGCGGATAGGCTTCGTCACACCTTGCTGCACGTCCTCCGTCACCTGTCTGCTCTGCTCACTACCAGCAATCAACTTCAGTGTGACGCTGTGGCACATCGATGATTCAAATATGGGGCGACCAATAGTCCACTCCTCTTCAACATCTCCTTCTAACGAATCGGAGTTTGCAGAGTCCAGTGTTGCCCCGCTAACAGTCGGACACAAATCACTGACTGTAAAGGAATTGTGCCGTCTAGATATCTCAGCTTGTTCAGATGAACTTTCAGGATGGCACGCACCCCAGGGCTCTCTAACCTCATCTGTCCAATGCTGGGGGCTGGAGGTAGCTCTAGGTAGCTGAATGTATCCTGACTGAGGGGAGTTTTTTGCTCTTTTATGAAACATTGAGAGATAACCATCATCATACTCCTCATCTGATACATTCAGATACAGTTCTTTCTTCAGCCCCTCTCGTCCATCCTCCACTTGGTCATTTCCACTTTCCAACTCTTGATGGTGTGCCACAGAACCTCCATCACTTGTCCACGTGGAGCTTAAAATGTGCTTTTTCTGAAATGTGTCACTACTCCTGCAGCTCTCTACATTTTCAGAAAATCCCCCCACACCAACCTGATTGAGGCACAAGATGTTGTCAACATCGCAGTCAAAGGTAGATACCACGTTAAACTCCTCCCTCTCACTGTTAATAAGTGTCCCCATATTAACCCCCGGCCCTGTTAAGGACCCACATTCCAAGTGGTGAGAGTGCAAGGGGACAGTGAGTGGGGGGCTGCAGGGGTCAGTGAAAGAGTCGAAAAGGGCTGGAGTAAGCATACTGAAAACTGTGCTCCTGAAGGGTCCATTCATTCTTTCATCCATGTCTGTTGGAAAACACACAAACACAGACATACAGTTAAATCCAACCATTAAATCAATATTATGCAAAAAAAGCTGTTTTCAGACCTGAACTCCAGAGAATATCTGAGCTACTGGGTCCTGACATATTCCGGAATTTTAACATGAAAAGAATGCAGCGGGACATTGTCTGAGTCAGATACGTTCACTACAACAGGAACATTTCCAGACCCTCCAGGTGAGAGGAGGCAGCAGGGTGGGGCGTGCAGGAGGGAGGATATGACGTATAAATTCCACAATGGAAGTCATGTGTTTAGATTTACAGCACATCGACACTGGCCGCCTATCAACAAAAGCTCTTGGTGCATGGAAGCAACTTAACACAAATATTGTACGTGAGTATTCAAATTAAATATTGAAAAACATTATTACTGCAGTACAGAATAGTACAGAATTGGACTCTTGCTTGGTGGCAGTTAACTTACATGACATAACAGAAACCACATGTGAGTCAGGAGTTAACCCACACAAACTTAAACCCCTACTGCTTTACTTGACCTTATATCATATTATATTAAATGATAAAACCTAAAAAACTGATTGTCTACATGCATCACATTTGTCAGAATAACTTAAATGAAGATAAGAGCTTTTAATTGTGTTCTAAATCAACGTAGCCACTAAAAAGGTGCAGTCCTCAAAATTGTACCGTCTTGGAGTTAAAAGTTCAAATGTTAGCATTAGCTTCAATTCAGGGCTACAAGTTAGCAAACACAACGTGCACTTCTGCGCCAACTTTCAACGCACATGGTGTAATTTTCTGGACCCAAGTTTAAAACTTACTAATCATACGTCAGACAAGTTATCTCAGGGGTGCTGTCCACACTACCCCCTCGGTGCAGACTGAGCACTGGAGGTTACTCTCGACGTCACCTTTGATTAAACGTTGAACACGGCGCGTCACACTTGAGCTAACCTCAGCTAAGCTAACTGCAATAACGTGGACAACTCTCCGTTAACGTCACCGGTTATTTGCGTCGCGGGTGATCTGAACGTGAAGCGCACACGGTGTCAGCTGATGGATGTGACAGAAGGTGAAGGCGTCCATTTTAACAACTCACCGGCTTTAACGAGGCGGGAGCGAGGAGACTCAAACTCCGCCGACACAGAGAAGTGACGGCTGATGAGGAACCAGAGGATCTGCCGCCAAACTTCCACCTGCACTTACCGCTTCCTGACGGCAGGTGTCACCTGAGAGTGGGGGGGTTAACGCCCCCTGACGTACTAATGTGTTGCCAAGGGATTATGTTCTTACGACAACAACTGCCGTAAATGTGTTTTCCTCCCCTCTTTCTGTTCATTTACTTTTAGCAGAAGTTCACGTTTTACAACATATGTCAGTTTCAATAGTATCATAGACAAACTCCACACCAATCAATTTGTCAATCAAACTTTATTTGCGTACTTTTCAGACAAATGAAAAGTAATTCAAAGATCTTTACAAGTCATTTAGATTTAGAGACAAGGCACAACTAATATGTGAATATGATAAGGACTAAAAGGTTAATAGGATTAAAGCAATATAAAAGATAGATCATAATGATAAACATCAATTTTAACAGAAACCAGACCCTAACCCTGACTGCTGAAGGCCGGCGGGAAGACCATCAGGGCAGTTTTGAGAAGATTAGATTCTCACTGGCTGGTTCTGATAATGCTCAAAACATGGCAACCCTTTTTAGAGTACTTAAACAAAGTTACTATTTACCCAGTAAGTGACTAGATGACTACTGTTCGATTATTTTTGCACACACTGTATATGTGAACTGCTGGTATATGTAAATGAAAAAGACAATAAAAAGATTTAAAAAAAAATTTAAAAATTCAATAAAGAGTTTGTGGTGATAAGCGCTGACGATGGTGTTGTGCTGTAAGCGTGATCATGTAATCTCTGCAGCAGTATGTTGCACAGTCACTTCCTGCCTTCCTGCTGCGTCCAGCTGCTCTACCTCTCACTTAATACAGACTTGTTGCTGTTGCAAAAGCGTCTGTGCAGAAAACCCCCTGCTGGTTTGTGCATGGTTGAGAAGCCAACTGTGGGTAAAGTACAGACCCCATTCTCCAGACTTTATCAGAAGGTCATGTCCGAAGACGGCTTATGTGAGTTGCATAAGAATTTATTGTGTCCTCTCAGATGGGAACCTCCAAAAACTTGAAACTGAGCTGAAAATCGGTTACACACCCTAAAGATGCCCATAAGGTGATTTCTGTTGCTGAATCTTCTTTCTTTTCACTCTAGGGGGCGATCTAACAGCGTGACGCACAAGGGGCTGTGCTCATGCTGTCTCTTCCTGGCATGTCTGGACATGCCCTACCAGTTTAATCCACAGAT